TAACATGCAATAACTGCCCAGAATTCTACATCAGAGAAACTGGAAGAAAATTGGAAACCAGATTGACGGAACACAATAAAAAACTGTCCCATGTTTTTCACCATTGCAACTCAAAAAAACATAGAATATCTATTAAAAACACAGTCATTTCAAACAAAGAACCCGACATAAAGAAACGAAAAATCAAGGAATCCATCTTAATTGAACAAAACAACCCTACTCTAAACCAACACCCTGGGTGCCTAGATACCTCTTCTAAGTTTTGCAACAGTTCCGGTCATGTGACTTCTTTGTTCAATATTGTATATATACAGTGTCAGTGTAAATTACTTGTACCTGATGATGACAAAACCTTGTCAAAATGTTGTACATTTGCTGTTATGTTAAACTTATATTAAAGTTTTTCTTCATTACCCATTCAAGCCATCTCCAACCATTATTAGTTAATTAAACTGTTCAAACTCTTCTGAACATAAGCTTTCAATTAAAAAAATGTAACTTTTAAGTAATGCCTAAACCTATTCAAATAAACTGATTAAGCAAACAATTACCCAAAACTGATATTTGAAATGCTATCAATATGTTGAGACACACTGGTGTATGTATATATATATGATACATTTTTATAGTAAGGAAACTTATGTAGAAACTGACCTTTGTTAATCCATATTTAAAAAGGTGATCTATGAGTAACCAAAGTTCCTTTGGGATCTCAAAAGGTGGTTCTTTAGCTTTAATTTCTTTGGGATGAGTTTCCTGCCAAAATATTTTCTTTAAGATATTGAGTGATCTAGAAGCATAGATGTCTCTAAAAGTAAACTAAACTACAAGGTTGCGAGACAAAAAATAATAATAAATTCAAAATAAGAAAAAATACATTTTCAACAGAAAGCTTCAGATGCTTTTTATCATACTAACACATAGCAAATTTGTGAAGATTAAAACAACAGAAAGTATAAATTATATCAAACTGACTACGTGGTAAAAAAAAAACAGAAAAAGTTACAGCAGATTAAAAATAACATCTATGTTTTGTATTTAAGTAACTAATCAAATACAGATGAAGCTTACCAAGTCAATTAGCTTTGCTGTAGGAACCTCACGTATAGGAAATGGCATTCGAACTAGAGCATCTAATGATGAACCAAAACAACTTGGTATGTAAGCGCCTTGTACAGTAATGTAATTGTAATTAAGGATAAACTCCATTAATTACAGTATACACTGCAGAAAGGAACCACACACATCTCTAATTACAGACTATAGTTTTTTCAATGTAAACTTCATCTTACAAAACATACATCTGAAACATTGTGCCAGTTCAAAACTACCAGATTTTATCATTCTGTGATGACTAGAAAAAAATCTTCAAGTTATTTCAAGGAATATTTCTCAAGTTTTTATAAAGGTGTTCTATACTTAGTTACAATCCTTGTGAACAGGATTTAAGTAGTTGTAAGCTTGCTTTCATCTTCACCTCAAGCTAAGGCTACATGCCACAGTAGTCATTCAAAAAAGCTTGTACTTGCTTGTTCAGGTGTCTGTATTGCTTCCCCCAGTGTTGTGGGTCAGACCTATGTGAAGTTTGCACAAGTTCGTATGAGTTGAGAGTTAATCTTCCCTTGATACTTAACTGTTGACTCCAGTTTTACTAACAATAACACCATTCTTTCCTTCTACAATTACTTGCAGTTTTTAAAGGCTGACTAAAAATAATCATGACTACCTTGAAACCTATCAGTAATATTATTATACTGCACTACTGCCTCTGGAACAGGGCCCTGCATTTTGCAGGGGGCTGTATATGAATTTCACTTGTGCAACAATACATCCTGTAACTGAGATTTCTTAATGTACCCTCACAAAAACTGGTAAGATTTTGTTAAAGATTATAAGTATCTTGTACACAGAAAATTACATTATTTTAATTATGTGTTTCTATTAAAAATATGCTATTTAACTATTGTAGTGATTTGCACTCAAACTCTTACTCATTTGATAATTAATCATTAAATAATTTTTAATGTTATATTTTCCTTTCCTGTCCTTTACCTTTTATTACTCATCTTGGAATAAGTCAATGGTTCCCATGGGGCATAATTACAGTATCTCCAGTAGAGATGCACAAGCCTTCAGCAAAATTATCTTCCCCTAGCGCAAGATCTTAAGCCATGAGAGCTGATGCAAAGTATGATGTAAATTTTAAAAATGTTTAAACCTTTTAATTATGCATTTTAAACACAAATAACACATAATTAACAAAGATATAAAAGACCTAAACACAATTTAACTTTCTCTCTAACTATAACGTATTTAGCTAAGAAAAAACTGTAAGTGCTATAGAAGATCAAGCATCCAACATTATTATGGGCAGTTACATCTATCTGATGACAACAGGTGAGCACCAATTTAAAAATAATTCTTGTTGGCTTATAGTATAAACTGAGCTCTTTCTAATGACTATACACATGTATATGTAGCAACTAAATGTATGTTATAAAGCTTAAGCAAAATTATAGATGGTGAGCATGGCACCCATCAGGAGTTGACAAATTTTTTACTTGTTTGTACTCCATTTAACTAGAGGATTTTAAAACTTATGTGTCAATAGGGCAAGTTATTTAATTGTTCAGAAATACATCTACAGGGCTGGCATTATATCAGTCAAGACAGGAAGCATGAAAGTTGAGATTTTTCATAGATTGTGGGTCACTTAGGAACACAAAACTGAATTTTAAGTATTTTTTAAAGCTTTCTTTTGAAATAAAGGAATTAAAACTTAGAAAACATAAAAGTTTAAATCATAACATACATTATAATGTTAATCTCATTCACATACATTGATATTAAAGTTGCTTAATTAAATTTTGAAAGTAATTCAGTGACTTTTGCAAAAAAGTGTTTAACCCTATCTCTACAGGTCTTCCTATGGTCACGGGTCAAAGGCCATGTCAACGTCTTTTTAGACTTGCATTCAACATTTTATTGAACCACTATTTTATGAATGTATCTCAAAGTTTGGTATTAAATTGGAAATTATGATTCAAATTTTAGTATAATCCCTTTGTTAATTTCTTAATTTAAAAGTAAATATTAAAAAAGAAATCCTAAATATTGATTTTTGTGTGTCACGTGGTACGTTGAATGTAGCATTGGTTCAATTTAGATGTTTGTGATGTCCAAATACAAAGTCTATAGTTTCTTAGGAATTAGGAACCAATATTGACAAGATAGAATAAAAATAAGAACTTCCTATCTTTTCTATTTGCTGAGATGTCACTCATGTACTGAAACAGACACAGTGGCCCCACCCACTTCTTTCCATTTTTGGAAACATTTCCTTATACACACCTACTTCTGTTTATGACATGTAAATAACCAATCGAAAGCTAAGAATGTCCCCCTAGTGGCTTTCTCAGCCATTTTGAAGTATTATGACGTCAACTTGTTCTTTTTATACAAGATTTTAAGCTGGTAAGTTCAGTTATTAGTCTGCTCAAAATTTCATATTTTTTAGACCCAAATACAGCTTAGTTACTGAGTTTGATAAATTATAGTGGAATTCAATGGTAACAATATGGTAATTTATAATTTTTTGGTTATTTCAAATGTATGTATAAAACCTACTAAGAATTATTTCATTTCACACCCTCCATGTGTGAAATTTGATAGGGCTTAGCAATCTATGACACGCAGCAAACGAGTTCAAAGTTTGTAACTAGAAGAGATAATTATTCTCTATAATTCTTTATTTACTGTTCTATGTTTTAAGAAAAATAACTTTAAGAACTTACTTGTAAATAGTAATAATGTATTATGACTGAAATGTGACAGTATTTTGTAAAATACTAGTCCAATAAACATAGTCAAGACAGGTCACTTGGTAAAGGCTTTTTTCATTTTAGAATGACTACAAATTATAACACGAAAACAAAAATGTGTAGTCTAAATAGCTTAAACTTCATAGCATTATACATTTATATGTATATATATATTATTTTTATTATACT